CACAGATACCCAGCCACAGCCCAACACCAACATATTTGGACGCTTCTGAGCTACCTGGAGGAACTGCTTGTACACTGGATGTGGCCCTACCTTTTCCTCTTAATTCCCAATCCCCTTCCTGGGCTAGCACCAGTAGTGGTTGGGACCCTTCCCTCAAGCTCCATTTTTAATAAGTTTTAGTATTTTTGTTAATGTGAGGCATTGAGCTGTTGGGTTTTGTATATTATTTATATAGAGACCCCAGAGCTGTTGCACCCAATACACAGAGCTTCTTTGCAAAGGAAGTGTGTGAGTTCTGCATGTCTGGGAAAGATGGGGTGTTGGGAGAGTGTTGGGGACTAGTCCGATAAGTTAGAGCCTTCATTCTGTTCAGATCATCTGTTTACTTACCATCCCCTTAATTTCTTAATTCTATTTGGATTGCTACGCTTTCTTTCTTCAACCTGGCAACACGTTAAGGTCTTGTGAGAAGGGTTGCTTCCATTCTCAGTTAAATGTTGCAGCTTCTTTCCAGCTTTTCTCCATGTGGGATACTTAACCACTGGGTTTGTGGGAGGGGCCATTAGGCCTGAAGAAAATCAATGGAACCTGATTCTCCTTTCACACACCCCAAATGCTGGGCCTTGAACTGTCTAAGGCAGGAGATGACAGACACTGCTTACCCTTTTTGCTGTCCTTACACACCAAGCTGCCTCCTTTTCATAGGATAGAGAACTTCTGAGACACACATTTCTGGGATGAAAAATCGCTCTCCATAGGCAGGTGTCACCATGGAACAGGTGATGGAAAGATGATATAGTTCTGGGAGGAAGAAAGAAGATTAAAAGGAAGCACCCTTTTCTTTTTCTGCCCCGTTGCTGAAACTGCTTATTTTTACATGACCTACCCTGGCAGTTATCCAGGATAACTATTGTCACCCTCATTTTACAATAGGAAAAATTAAAACTGTTGCTGTAGAGTCATTTGGAGCTATGGTAGGGAATCATCCTCAGCCTCCCCGCCTTCAGGTTTTGGGCCCTAGATCCAAGGCTATCCAATATCTAACTGGTTTATTTAATGGAGTCTTCTGGTCAATTGTATGGTAGATGAGTGGTGCAGGATGATTTAACAACTTAAGGTCTATGTCCTGGCCATCACTGGCAAGTGTCAAGTGTACTGTTAAAACCAAGGGCACCAATCAATACCCAGGTTACAAAGAATACAAAATAAAATCCCTCTGAGGTCCTGAAATCCCTCACCTATATGGGAATTAACAAGTTTAACAGTTGTGTGTGTGCAAGAAATGGGACTACTTAACAGGGTAAAGGCAAATATGACTCAAGCTTCTGACCTGTTCTATCCTGATACATACATTCTGAGGAACTACTGGGGTAGAGGTTTAGCTGGAATTAGGGACATTTAGAGGGACTTGGTAGAGTAGTGGTTACAAATCAGGCTGCGAACCGCAAGGTCAGCAGTTAGAAACTACCAACTGTTCCCACGGGAGAAAGATGAGGCTTTCTGCTCCCGTAAAGATTTACAGCCTCGAAAACCCTGTACAGGGTTGCTATGAGTCGGAACTGACACCAGGCACATAACCACCACCACCACAGAGGGACTTGGGGAGGAAAAAGGTGCTAGCCAAACTGACAGATGAACCGCATACAAAAATGTAAGACATAGCCAGGTCCGGAGGAGAGTCTAAAATGGCATGCTGACAGTTGAAGTTTGACTTGCCCCAGCAGAAGCAACAGAAAGGAACAGCAGTGACCTTTGGGAGAGTGACAGGATGAGTGCAAAGTGGCCCCACTGCTTGCTGCTTGGGTAGAAGAGAGATAAGGGATGTTGAGTAAGGTGGAAGTGAGTCTTTTGAAATATGACGGGGAGTTATCCTGCAGTGCCTCAGTTTCTCCCTTTGTTCCAAGGTCTTACAATTTGCAGACACAGTTTAGCTGCCTTAGATCATCTATCTGATAGCTTATTTGAGGGGGGCAGTGTGAGAGAGAACATGTACAATTGGAATGCACTTGTAAATGGGAGGGGGAGATTAGGCCATGCCCTGAGACTTAAGCCATCTCTGGCACAAAAGGAGTTAATGGCAGGGACCGCGCCCCCCCGTGTCCGGGCACGCGCAGCGCGCCCCCTTGGTGCGCGGGCACAGCAGTCAGGCTGCCGGAGAGCAGATCTCGGGGATTCGGGTGCGGATCCCTTGGCCTGGAGGCGATATGGGTGGTCCGCAGCTGGGTTCAGTCGCTCGAAACAGCAACAGCCCGGGGAACAGGTGAGGCCGCCTGCCCCGGTCTCTCATCCTCTAGCTGCCCATACCTTGCCCCCATCCTATCTCTTCCCAATCCCAGGCTCCTCCACTCCCCAGCCAGTGCCCCCTATCCCTCTCAACCCCATATTTTCCATGGGCACTCCTACCCCCCCCCCAGATTCCCCTTTTCCTCTCCTTCACCTGCTTTCTAATCCCATATCCCTATCATTCTCCCACCCTTGGTTCCTGTATTTCCACAACCATGCCTGCACGCTCATTAAAATACCTCTACTGAGGGCCCCCAACCCTGTTCCTGAGCCTGACTGTATTGCACATTGCCAGCCCCTCTTCCCCCACAGTGTAGCCCCATCCCCCTTCCATCATAGCATCTCAAAGCCAGGCTCCCTCCCCCACTTTCTGCAGCCCCCCCAGGCCTTTCTCCTATTCTCCCTCATTACAGTGCAGCTCCATCCCCCAGTACCGTTGCAAAACCGCGTAGTCCCCAATACTGCAGTTCTCAATACCATTCCATTCCTGTACAATGACCCTCGCCCAATACGGCTCCAGCCCAAAAGTACCCCCAGATGCCATTCTCATCCCCACCACTGCCACCTCCCCTTGTCTTCCCCAATTGCAATTTGGACCAGAATGGAGATCAGTGAATCCTAGGGTACAGAGGGCGTTTGGGGGTCGGTCAATTTGTCTAGGTGTTGAAGGGAGGGACTGCAGAGAATTGAATTGACTCAAAGAAGAAAGGCATTTGGCACTAAAGGGTTACTGGAGAGGGAGACATCCCGAAAGGGTTAATTGAATGCTAGGGGTGGGGGCAGCATTGAAGGGGTTAATGAGGAGGGGTAGCTGGCGGGGAAGCTGTGTGAATGAGCGGTCTGTGCCCCTGTGTTGCCATGGAGATGGTGAATGGGGGGATTGTGTGAACTCAGCTGCGGACTATTGCCCCCCCATACACACACACACACACACACACACACACACAATTCCTCTTGCCCCACCTACCTACTCCTACCCCTTTCTTCCCCTCCTTCCCCCTGCCCGGGTGCATTCTGGGCAGTGTCTGGGATCTTTCCCCCATACTTTGCTCCCCATTTCCTCTGAGCCCCCACCCCTATAGTAACTTTGCCCACCTCCCTTCCCTCCTCCTCTTCCTTTCTCACTCACACGCGCGCGCGCGCGCACACACACACACACACACACACACACACACACACACACGCATTTTCATTCCCCTCTCGTGGTGGCAGCCAGCAATTGCTGGGCATTCCCAATCTCCCTCCCCCACCCCTACAGCCAGTTCTTAAAGGAGCAAGCAGGCAATCTTGGATGGCGGGAGAAATGAGGGAAAACTAAACATGCGTGCATTTGTGTTTGTGCATGCGCGTGACTATGTTCATGTGGGAACCTCTGTGTGTGTCTGTGTGTATATGCCTGTGTATATGTGTTGCTATTTCTGTTTCTGTCTCCACCAATGTGTCACCATTATGCTCCACGTATCTCTGGATATTTACCTATGCTGGTGTATGGGAGTACATTTCAGTAAGTCTCTGTGTCTGAATGTATCTCTGTGAGCCGCTGGCTCTGTGAGGCTCTCTGTTTCCAAATGTGAAACTATATAAGGGGATCTCTGTGGGTTTGGAATGTATGTCTCAGTGAGTGAATATCACAAGTGTGTGTGATCCTGGCTTGGTCTATCACTCACTCTGAGTCTTTGTGAGTTTATTTCACTAAGTCTCTGAGTATGTGTCTCCCCTACTGTTGTTTATCTTACACTGACTGAACATCAACAATATCAAGCGTGCTGGGCAGAATGGTTTCTGCCTCAGTCCTGGCACTCTGTAAATTAGAGATAGCCAATAGAAAGGACTAAGGCTTCAAGATTTGAGAGCAATGAGGACTGAGGGGAGAAGTGCATGAGACCGTCTGGGGACTCTGGCAAATGGCTGACCTGACCTGTCTGAGGGTGAGGGGCCACTCTATGGGACCCTTTGCCTATCTGCTGCTTTTCCTTTGTATGCCTCAGTATCCCAGAGTGAATTTAACAATCCTACCCTCCTGGTGTGAAGGTCCCTCCGTGGAGTCAACAGGAAGGAGCTCTGGTAGCTTAGTGGTTACGAATCCGGCTGCAAACCACAAGGTCAGCAGTTCGAAACTACCAGCTGTTCCTGCGGGAGAAAGATGAGGCTTTCTGCTCCCGTAAAGATTTACAGCCTTGGAAACCCTGTACAGGGTCACTATGAGTCGGAACCGACTCCACGGCACATAACAACAACAACAGGGACTAGTCAGCTCAGTGTTCACACAGCATGCTCAGTGACCTGAGTTCCATTTCCAGTTTTTCTCACTCCCTGCTACTGTACATGCAACTCTGGCTCCAGCTGGCCCTAGTGAATTCCATGACTATGGAGTTGAAGTTGGGAACTATGGATTTACAATGACAAAACCTGGACACTGTCATTTCCCTTGAATTTTTCCAACCATGGCCAGAAACAGAATGGTTCTGACTGGCAGTGGAGATCAGCTCTGAGTCCCTGGAACCTTAGGTATGCAAAGCCTCTCTTAACTGTAAGGGAATAGCCCAAGTCTAGCAGAGCCCCAAAAATCTGCTCTCTAGCCTTCCCTAGACCCTCTAGGATGACTCATACTTCCCTCTTTCCACAGGCCTGTCTGGCCCTGAGGGAGTCCCCTTTCTGAAGCTGTGGTGCTTGGACGACCTGCTCTCTACGTTGCTCGGCACCTGTAGTTGTCCCATGAGAGCTCAGTTTTGAGGTTCAAGTCAGTGTGGCCATGAAGGGGCTGCCTATTGGGCTGGTGCTGTGACCCTGGAGTCTGCCTCTCCTGCCAGTCCCTCTGTCTGGAACATGTGGCTGCAGCTTGGCTCACCCTTGCTGTCCCTGAGCCCCAAGCCTATTGTTGGCCGGAGCCTGTGCCTCATCCTGTGGTTCCTCAGTTTGGTGCTGAGGGCCAGTACCCAGGCCCCAGCACCCACAGTCAATACTCACTTTGGGAAGCTAAGGGGTGCCCGGGTACCATTGCCCAGTGAGATCCTAGGGCCTGTGGACCAATATCTGGGGGTACCCTACGCAGCTCCCCCGATCGGCGAGAAACGCTTTCTGCCCCCTGAACCACCCCCATCCTGGTCGGGCATCCGGAACGCCACACACTTTCCCCCAGTGTGCCCCCAGAACATCCACACAGCTGTGCCCGAAGTCATGCTGCCCGTCTGGTTCACTGCCAACTTGGATATCGTCGCTACTTACATCCAGGAACCCAATGAAGACTGCCTATACTTGAATGTCTATGTGCCTACGGAGGATGGTGAGTGCTACAGCCAGGCACTGTGACCTCCCCGCCTCCCGCCTGCCCTTTGTGTTTGTGGCTTGCATGTGATTGTGTGCCCTGCAGCATGCATCTGTCTGTCTATGAAAATGCTTCTAACCATCACTTTGCTTGGCCTCCCCATTTCCCCTCCCTGTTCTTCCCTCTCCCAGCATTGTCCGAGCTCCCATGTGTGAGTGAAACTGTTATCAGGAAGGGCCTGGCCAGGCCTGAGAGCTTTGACAGGTCTAGATCCAGAGTTCTGGCTGGGGGAATTCCCTAGGGGAGTATGGATCACTGCTGGCAACTGCCTGCAGGAGGATGCTGGCTCCACCACCCTGCTCTCCCCATTGCCATTCCACCTGCTTTGAAAGGTGGTAGGTGTGTGTGGCCTAGGGAGCTGGGTGTGTGTGGGGGAGGCAATGGTGGGGCAAGCCTGGTGGACAATGCTTAGTGCCTCCTCTTTCACTAGCTGATGCCTCCTCCCGCGGGGGTTACCCTAAGGTAAGTGACAGAAACCAGGAGATGGTGGGACAGGCTCTCTGCCACGTGCTCACCTTCCGAGCAGCTCTTGGGGCCTGGGGGTGGGGGTGAGGGGAATGCATGCCCCTGGGCAGAGGCCTCCTGTTATTTTTTAGTTTTTTATTCATTTTACAGTAAAGCGGATTTCCAAGGAATGCGCCAGAAAGCCCAACAAGAAAATATGTAGGAAAGGAGGTAGGTAGCGAGCCGGCGGGGAGGGAGAGAGAGAGAGAGGGAGGGCTACTTGCCCACCTGCCCTTGCCCCCAAGGACCCAGCCTTCCTCTAACTAGCCCAGGCTCCGGGGAGGGGGTGGGGGGTGAGCAGGCAGAAGCTCCACCTCATCCAAGGGCTCTGGCTGCTTTTTAGGGAGGATTTGGTGGCCTAAGGCAGGTTAAGGGCAAAAGCAGCAGCACCCCAATTTCTTCCAATCTTCCCAGCCCCAAATTTCATCCTAATGCATTTGCCAAAGACAGAGCTAGTGGCTCTCTCAGTGACATCTCAGGAAAACTCCAGGCAGCCAAGATGGAGCTGCCCATTCTGAGTGGGTTCAACCATAAGATCATCCCTCCCATACGCTTTCTAGACTCCCAAAGTCTAGATTCAACTCTACTACCCTGAAGCTAAGACCAAACATATATACACAGGTTTAGTTAACTACTTCCTGCCGCCAATCCCACCATCTCTGTGGCCTGAGCGTAGTTTGAAAGACCCAGACTACTCTGGTGGCAGAACATGGCAGTCTCTGGAAACTATGGACTCTAAAAGAGGCAAGATATCCTGGATGCTAATTTTACCCTCTTGCTGAGAGGAATTTGTTCCCCTGAACAATATTCCTAATGTTTGAATACTCTGGTTTTTTGCAAAGTGCTTTCATATTTACCTCAAAAAATCCTCCCCACATCTCTGGAAGCATGTAAAGCAGGAATTAGTGTCCCAAGTTTACAGATGAGGAAATGAACATAGGGGAGTGACTTGATATTGCTCAAGGCCACACTGCTGTTTTGTGATAGAGCTGGGACCAGAACCTGGGTCTCTTGACCCTCAGGGCAGTATTCTTTTCATTGTAGCACATGGAGGCAACTCTTATCTGATCATTCCCATCTCTCCAACTCTGAAAAAAATGCTGAAATATAGATGCGCTGGGCAGAATTGGAAACAGCCTGGTCCCTACAGCACTTTGGCTGGCATGAAGTTTGTTTTCCTTACATATCCTAGGGCAAGATTTCTCAGAGTAGGATTGGCAGGGACAACGGGATGGGGCCCCTGGGATTGCATGTTCCCAGACCTACCAAATAAGACTCTTCTCTGGGGGCAAAGCATAGGAGTCTTCACGTTGAACAAACACCTCAGTGATTTGAGTAAGACTTAGGGGTAAAATTTCACCACACCCTCACACCCAGCCCAGGGCTTCATACGCAGTAGGCAATCAGGTCAGTAGTTTTTTGCACAAATAAAGAAACATTGTGGTACTGCAGAAAGAATACAGGTCTGGACACCACAGAGCCTGTCTGAGCCCCAGCTCTGCTGCTAACTCACAGTGAGACCTTAGGCAAATTTTTGCTCTAAGAACCTCTTTTTCTACCTCTGAAGGTGTTGGTATGGATCTCTTCTGGGACTAGCATGCATTAGACTATAAATGAATTCATGAAGAGGGTGGAAGGAGGGGGAAAGGGTTGATATAAGTATTAACCATTTCTTAAGAAGTAATAATCTAGGGCAGTACAGTTCAGTCCTGAGAATTTGAGTAGAGAGCCTGGCAGACTAGAAATTTCCATTCAGATATATTTACCAATCATGATTGTTGACTATGGACAAGGTCTTGTGTTGTCATTGGGATGTTGCGGGATGGGAACTAGAGAAAAGATTTAGAAATGACTAAAGGTCATTTTCGCTACTCCGAATATGCTCCTGTTGTTGTTAGGTGCCTTTGAGTTAATTTTGACTCATAGCATCCCCAAGTGACAGAATAGTGCTGCCCCATAGGGTTTTCTAGGCTGTAATCATTATGGGAGCAGATCACCAGGTCTTTCTCAGACGGGACCATTGGGTGGTTTCAAATCATCAACCTTTCAGTTAGAAGCTGAACAATGTTGCGCCATCAGGACTCCTAGCCTAGCATCAAAATTCAGCAATTTTCCCTAAACCCCACAGGCCAAGATAAAAAGTGGACTCCTAACAATGTAGGGGATGACAGTTGGTCATCTAGCTGGTTCAATTTAATTCCCTAACTAGAGCTTATTGACTATTTGGAACAGAGGTGCAAATTCTACCTATGAGGGAAGACGATCTTGAGCTTAGATATTAGGGTTGTGGTGTGCATAGATCAAGCAGGGCTGTCCTGGTTGGGATCCTGCAGCAGCACAATGTCAGTGGATGGTGGCTGAGTGGTTCAGCAAGGAGCAAAGACATCCTTTGTGGAGTAGGCTAGGACAATGCAACAACCCGGAGATACTCCCAGAAGAGGGCAAAAAGAACACATTCTAAAAGTCAGAGCTGATAGGAATTGAAGGATTTCCTGGGAAAGGTTTGCCTCACCCCACCCCCATCAGGTTGGAGTGAATTAATGTTTGGGATTTCTTTCCATTTTGGGGCTATCGACTGTGTGGATGATGAGGATCCATGTTCCATAGTGTTTCTGAAGACAGTACTGGCAGATGTTGAACAACAGGCATCACTGGAAGTTGAAGTTTTTTCTATCCCTAGGCTGGGCTCTGGTCCTAGTTGGAAAACCATTATGTAACATGGGGCCAGGGGAGGGGGGGAAAAATCCCTGTTTTGATTAATGGCTGTAAGGAAATTAAGTCACTAGAGTTGAGACCAACCGAGAAAGGGCTATTTGCTGCCTCCAGGCTGAGAGTAACTAGTATCAGATCATAGAAGGTAAGACCTGAGGTACCAGCAGAAGTACTTTTTCCTATATACTGACAAGCATCAGCATCTAGGCAGTAAGTCCTCTTTTCCTACAGCCATTCTCAGCTCCAAGATATACTTCCTTAAGATCAAGAAGGAGAATTGGTGCTAGCTTGCCCCTAGGTCCTAAATGTCTTCTCTTCTCTGGTTTCTCACTTCCGCTCTTCCTCTTCCCTCCTCTTCATGCTCCACCTCTTTTCTCATCTCCTTCCCTTCCCTTTCCGCCCCTGCCACTAGGTGGCATGTTGTTGTTATTGTTGTTAAGTGCCTTTGAGTCGGTTATGACTCATAGGGACCCTGTCTGTATAGGGTTTCTGAGGAGCTACTGGTGGGTTTGAACTGTCGACCTTGCAGTTAGCAGTCCAGTGCTTATCCTACAGCACCACACAAGGACTCCACTAGGTGGCATAGTGCAGTGGAAAGATCATGAGTTTTCGAGTCAAGCAGACCTTGGTTTGACTCCCATCTCTGATACTTCCTAGCTGTGTGATCTTGAACAAGTCACTGTACTTCTCTGAACCTCAGTTTCCCCATTAGTGAAACAGGATTAAGGATAGTACCTACCTCACTGGGCTGTAAGAATCAAACAATATGGTATAACTAGAGCATCTGGCACATGGTAAATATTCAGTACATGGTAGGAATTATTATCATTATTTCTATCTCTTTGTTTCTCTTTCTTGTTGTCCCCTTTTCCTTTTCCCCTTTCTTCTTTCCCTCTGTCCCTCTCTGGCTCTCTCTATATCTCAGAGCAATGCTTGCTGCCCTCAGGCCTGGTTCCTGTGGGCAGGAATCTCATTTGCCATTAATCAGAGCAGAGGGCACCAATGAGGAGGACCAGAGGGAAAGCTGCATCTCCCATCTTCTCCTGTGGGAATCAGGGTCAGCTGAGGCCCAGCTGGAGCCTGCTCACTGAGTCCAGGTAGTGAGCTCAAGGCTGGGGTCCCTGCATACATGCTGGCAATAACACCTCTCACCCTCAGTACCACCCCTGCTCTCCAGCTCAACCTGCCTATGTACACACACACACAGCCCTTTTTACCCAGAATGAATCCTTTCCTTGAGTGGGTCTATGGTGCTGTGGCCTGGCCTACTTTCTGCTACCTCCTTCCTAACTGGGAAGGCTTGGGGAGTGCCAAGGTAGTCGGTTGAGATAGGCTGTTGGGAACAGGGAGGTGGGGCAGGGAGGTGCAAGGAGTCCAGCACAGCAGGGGCCTGCAACACCATCATCCTGATGAAGGTCTGGGCCTCAGCCCACCCATTCCCTCAGTTCTTGCCATCCCTCCTGCCTGTCCTGGGCCCAGGCCCAGAGCTGGCTTGCTGGGCCACACTGCAGTCATGCTGTTTTTGAATTCTCTCTCTGTTTTGTTCTCTGTTCTGTGCTGTTGTGTCTCCTTGTGTCTGGTCCCCAGGATCCGGCGCTAAGAAACAGGGCGAGGACTTAGCGGATAATGACGGGGATGAAGATGAAGGTATTTGGGGGCTGCAGGGCGTGGCGGCTGGTGCATGGCACAGAGCCCCTCCCCCTCTTGATGGGGAGAAGCCCCATCTGTCTGTCTGTCCGTCCGTTGCTGTGTTTCTGTTCCTGTACAAGACCGTTGGTCTGCTCATCCATCTTTGGCCTGATTGGCCACTGGGGTTTAATAGACACTGCTGACTTGAGCAGGAGAGCACAAGCAGAGCCCTGGGGAGGGCAACCTCCTCTCACCCAGGTTCCCCATTCCTGTCCTCATTTCTATAGTAGAAGTGGACACTGCTGGAAACAGCTTCCTCCCCCATCTTTTATAGTTCATGGGCACCTGCCACTACTGAGCAGAAGGGAGAAGGCTGAGCCAGGGGAGGGGAGGGAGAGGCACAAAGGAAACTAGATGATGGGGAGATGCCTGTGTTTCATCAAGAAGACATCAGTGCTTCTCGGGGAGACTGGCTTCTGGAAGAGTGGTCAAGAAGGAGCCAAGCAGGATGCTGAACAGTGTGAGACAGTGATGACCAAAGGGACTGGAGAACCACCTAGAACCTCCCCAGCCTTCTCACAGAGAGAGATGGTTTCAGGACCAGCGGCTGTGATAGGTTCAGGACACGCTGTGGGCTGAATGCCAGGCTGAGACCAGGACCCCATATCCCAGTCAGTAGATAGTATAAGATTCCAGGTGATCACTGGGCCAGCCTTCCTCCTTGGGAAACAGGTTCTGTGTGCTTCTCAGCAGAGAGAAATTCCCCTCTACCTCTACGCTCTTCCCTGCCCCTCTCTCTGCCCCTGGATGGATCAGACAGCTCAGATGGGCCCACTGGTGACTGGTAGGGCTATGCTGATATGGCAGAGAATGTTGATCCAGTTCACGAAATGAAAGGCTACAGGCAAAGGTGATCAGACCTGGAGCTTTCTCTTGATTTCCTAGTCCCAACGCTGTGCTACTTAGGCTTGGAAGCAGCCACTTGATGGTCCCTTGTTGAATGGCCTCTGGGGAGGCTCCATCTTCATCTTAATGCTAACTGGGGACAGACTCTTTCGTTCCTAGTTATACCCCTATCCGCTTCCCCATCCTCAAGTTTCCAATTAAGTCTGCCTGATGCCCACAGAGAATGGAGAAAATGGGCACATGGCTGAGAAACCAAGTCAATAAGGTTCTCCCCACCCCATCTCTGCCATACATTCCCATTTCCCCACACCCTTCCTTGTTCTCTCCCTGTGCCACCCTTTATTCCCACCCCTCTTGTTTCTGTCTGCACTGGGGTCCAGCTGTTGCCAATGGCCGTATTTCCATGTAACTGGTCTAGTCTTGGGGGTTTCAGGACTCCCCAGCCCCTGCTCTCTAAAGCCATGTCAGGTCCCAGGACTCCTGGGAGCCCAGGGCAGGAACTCACTTGATTCAGCTAAGAGACTAGCCCTTCCTCTTCCTTCTGCTCCCCCATTCCCAGGGCCTAACCATGGCCTACCTAAGCCTAGCTGATCAGGCATGCCAGGCTGCCTTCAGCTGGGAGGCACTTGATACCAAAGTCTTTAAAAGCATCACTGAAATCCAACTGTCTCTGACTGATGCTTAATCTCTAGGCTGAGCAGCCTCATGAGTTCTGCCCTCAGGAATGACAGTGGTGTCCTGGCACCTGAGATAGCTTTGCTGACCAACCCCCCCAAGGGATGGTGGGGGTACAAGGACATCATACCCAGCCGATGTGTCACCCCTTCTCCTTGCAGATATACGGGACAGTGGCGCTAAGCCTGTCATGGTCTACATTCACGGAGGCTCTTACATGGAAGGGACAGGCAACATGATTGATGGCAGTGTTCTCGCCAGTTATGGCAACGTCATCGTCATCACCCTCAACTATCGAGTTGGGGTGCTAGGTATGGTTCTCTGCCAGGTGCTCTAGAAGGGGAAGGAAAGAATGCTAGGAAGTTAAGAACAGATGACCCTGGTTCTCTAGCTAGTGCTGCTTTGGCAACACATAGCCAAAGCGTTGTTATATAACGGCCCCTACCCAAGTGTTATGAATTGGGCTGCGAATCTCAGGGTCAGCAGTTCGAAACTACCAGGTGTTCCATGGACGAAAGATGAGGTTTTCTGCTCCCATAAAGATTTAAAGCCTTGGAAACTCTGTACAGGGTTGCTATGAGTCAGAACCGACTCCACGGCATATAACAACAACAACCCAAGTGTTGGAAACTTCTCTGTATCCCGAGGCCCTTTCTTGGAATGTTTAGACACCATTGGGGATTCAATTAAAACTTCACACCTGCTCTTAGGTCCCAAGCCAAGTCTTTCTCCCAGATTTTCGCTTGGCTGAGTTTTGTAGGGTTCACTTGTTTTCTAGTATTCTGATCTCATCTTTGCATACCTACCCCCAAATCCCTGTACACCCCATACATACAGAAATATTCCTTCTAACTCACTGTTGCTGAAGTGATTCTAAGTCATAGTGACCCTGTAGAACAGTAGAACTGCCACATAGAGTTTCTAAGGCCGTAAATCTTTAAGGAAGCAGACTGCCACATCTTTCTCCTGCAGGGTAGCTGGTGAGTTTGAACTGCCAATCTTTTGGTTAGTGGCCAAACGCTTAACCACTGTGATGCCAGTGCTCCATAATAACCCTTCTAACCAATCACATATCCACTGACTCACATACCCTAATGTGTATACCCTAACAGCCTCACATACCTCACATACCCTATCATCTACACCCCTATGTATACAATTATTTCTCACTCACTTCTACAAGTATATACACATACCCATATACATATAGAGAGTCCTGGCGTGGCACTAGGGGCATTGGACTGAAAAGTCTGTTTGAACCTTAAGGTCGGAAGTTCAAGCTCACCATCTGCTCCATAAAAACCCTATACAGTGTCGCTATGGGTTGGAACCAACTCGACAGCACTTAACAGCAACAACATACATACATATATATACTCTACATCCATATCTACAAACCCCTGAAATTCTCCACCACTTCATATACACTACACACACACATCCACGGTCCATATATTCCTATATACTCCATATCAATACCCCACATATGCAGATCTCTCACACCCTCCATATATACGTATAAATACATTCTCATTTTCCTCCCTCTACACCTCTATTCTGGAGTCCTGGTGTGGCACTGTGGGTTAAGGCGCCAGACTGCAAAGTCATTTGAACTGCAAGGTCGGCGGTTCAAGCTCACCAGCTGCTACTCAGAAACCCTATACAGGGTCACGATGGGTCGGAACCGACTCAATGGCACTTCACCACAACAACCACACCTCTATTCTATATTCACATCTACACCCATACACATGCCACATATCCATACTTACTCTTTCCTCTATTTCCACATTTATTTTCTACACAGACTCAACATCCGGCACATCCACATCCATACACAAACTCCACAAATACATAACCTACACACGCACACCATAACAATTCCTTCCACCCACCTGTATACTTACACACATATATCCATGATCCCTAAACAATTCTACTTCTGCCTTCACTCTACACACTCATATTACACACATACACACATATTTTCCTCACTTGCCCCACATGTACACAAGTACCAGTATTCCCCTGGAGCTCTGGTAGTGTAGTGGTTACGAATCGGGCTGCAAACCTCAAGGTCAGCAGTTTAAAACTACCAGCTGTTCCGCGGGAGAAAGATGAGGCTTTCTGCTCCCATAAAGATTTACAGCCTCAGAAACCCTGTACAGGGTCGCTATGAGTCAGAACCGGCTCCACGGCACTTAACAACAACAACAACATACTTATGTACCTATAACTGCATGTCCACATCTCCCAACCCCATACATACACAAATGCTCCTCCCACACATAAACACACATCCCTTACCCCCACATCCCTTCTTCCACATCAATACACACATCCCATAGACTACACTTATATGTTCCCTCCTAACATATACCATAGATTACCTGCATCCCCTCATACAAAAGTTTCCCATATATAAACCCAATGCATACACATATACATTTTTCCCACCCACAACGATATATTGTTGTTAAATACTGTTGAATTGGTTCTGACTCATAGCGACCCTACGCACAACAGAATCAATACCTGCCATCCATATCCATACCTACACACACCTCTACCCACCCCCAACTTCACTTCTGCACATCCTATACTTAAATGTTGTTGTTGTTAAGTGCCACTGAGTCGGTTCCAACCCATAGCGACCCTGTATAGGGTTTCTGAGGAGCAGCTGGTGAGCTTGAACCACTGACCTTGCAGTTCAAATGGCTTTGCAGTGTGGCGCATTAACCCACACTTAAATACTATAGATACTAGCTAGCTAGCTAGAGACCTTACTTTTGCCTTCTCCAGACAGACAGCCTCATACATTCCCACTCCATTACACATACACATTCCTATACATACACACCCAACCTCATACACACCAATATGCCCTCACTCACATATACTCTGTTGTTCACATACTGTCAGTGGTTTAGGCTGCCCCTCTGTCCTGTACCTTTCTTGGTATTGAGTTCTTAAGACAATCACCCTCAGAGGGGGTGATCAAGCATACAGGGCCATGCTCCCTTTTAGATGCTCTCTCAAGCCTCAGAGGACACATGCAGCCTCATATTCCTATAGTGGCATAAAGATGCCAACTTCTTGAGTGGAAGATTTATGTCCTCAGAGTTCCAGTGGTAGTATAGGCTGTTTGTTAAGTCTAGGCTTAGGTGCTGAACTTCTTGTTGCTGTTGTTAAGTGCCGTTGAGTCAGTTCTGACTCATAGTAATCCTGTATAGGGTTTCCAAGGAGTGGCTGGTGGGTTTGAACCACCGACCTTGTGGACAGTAGTCCAATACTTCTCCTACAGCACCACACCAGGACTCACAATTTAGGTACGGCTTACTCCGTGGCACATTGGCTGATAGAACCTTATTTTAATTTGCTGTCAAGTATACTGCTTTGCCAGTTCCAATCCCAGATGCCTTGGTGTTACATTTCACTTCTGGGTGTGACTGTGTATGCAGAATGGCAATCTCCTCTTGACTGTGTTATAAACCTTTCACACACTGTGGAATGGAAGATAACTTTTTTCAGTTCAGACTGGAGAAATTCCCTAAAAAAAAGTGGAGCCTGTGTCCCCTTCAGTGGTACCTGGTATACCAAGTATGGAGCATACTGAACATCTACCTAGTCTCTCAACAGCCCGGTGGGTTTTAGATTTCATGGTTCTGTCGCTGCTCTTCTGCTTCAAACATGATGGCAAGACTCTCATAAGCTGCTCTGTTCTGTTGAGGAAGGAGATTTGAGTCTCTGACAGTAAAGTAGGTGCCATGAAGGTATCTGTAACCCATACACTCAGGCTTCACAATTGTTTAAAGAGGAATTCATACACAAACATAATCACAAACAGATATACAGATATATGTATACAGTAATTAGAGGTCCAAAGTAATTTAGCTACCTCCTTTTCTTAGTGAGAGTAGTAGAAAATGTTCAACTCAGATCCTTTTTAAAAATTATGAATGCAAAGCTCAACAAAGTTTATTGAAGAATGCAGAAAATACTAACAATATGCTTCAGTTCCCTCTTGTAGGAGTAGCTAGGGATGAAGGAGGAGAGAGAGTGTGTGGAGGAGAGTGGAAGAGAGAAAAGAAAGTAAAGGAGAGGGGAGAAACGAGAGAATGAGAGCAATCCAGGGAAAGGAGGCAGAAAAGCGATAGAAGAGAGACTCAAGATTTGAAGTGTCTGTTGGAAACTGTTGGTTGCACAGCTATTGCTGGTGAGCAGTCCCTAGAATATTCTGGTTCACTGATTTCAAAACCCTTCAACTCCCCTAATCCTTTTCTATCAGAAGTTCTGGACTTTTTTGGGGGGCCATGAATCCCTTTGAGATTATAACAAAAGCTATGGACTTCCCCTAGAAAAACGCACATACATACAAAAGCCTATAGAAACAACTTCATGGTACTACCCTGAAGCTCATCCATAAACTCAGATTAAGACCCACTGCTTTACAACCTCCTCTCACTCAACGGCACATAACAACAACAACAACTCATTTAAAGAACTAGAGCAGCACATCTGGGGAATAGGAATATTATTAAATCTCAGAAGGAGTCATAAACTGAGATTTGGTCAGAAGGCCCCCATGCCTCCCTTTAGTTACTGCTCTGGAACACAAATACAATCAATAAACCTCTGATTGGATTCTGGGTACATACAACATGTTTTGTCTCTTGGCACCAGATGTAGAACATAGGATTGCCCTGATACTTGGGGATTTTTCTGTGCAACTGGAGGCTTTGCTGTTCTGTTTATCAAAGAGCAGGTAGTCAGTTTTGGACCCCAATTACATGCATTGAATTACCCTCCCTCTCATCACTTCTCTAGAGCACTGAGCCCAGACAGTTCACTCTAAGGTGCTTCTGTAGACAGCTCAGGTGATGCATACATGTTGAGAATGTCATAAGCCTATGACATCTGGGGTGAAGGGATAGCTATTATTTGAGATGTCCCCACTGGTATTGGGGCCAAGAAAAGAAAGTGACCTTGGTTGCTGTTGTTAAGTGCCGTTGAGTCAGTTCCAACTCATAGCAACTCTGTATAGGGTTTCCAAGGAGTGGCTTGTGGTTTTGAATTGCCAACCTTTTGGTTAGCAGTCCAGTGCTGACCCTACAACACCACACCAGGAGTCCAGTGACCTCAGTAGGATATGGGTTATGGCTATTCCTGGGGCTGAGGAGTAGGGGCTTGATAAATTGTATTGAGTTCCAAAACTTAATCCTACATCCTTGCTCAGGTGCCCTTCAGACAAACTGAAAACCTGGTAAACATCAGGCCTCAAGTGACACAAACATCTGGTTTTGATACCATCTGCTAGATCCCCTATCTTCTGTTGACAAGCAGTTTTATCACGTACTGCAGAATAAACTTGGGGCCAAGGAGACGGGTTCAGATTTATACTGACAGTTTATGAAGTTTGATATTTCACCCATTGTCATGTAGTTTCTGTAGATGGTGGAGTTATTGGGGTGGGGGGTGGGGGCTAGCAGAGAGTGACTGCTCTCCCAGACTTCCAGGTTTTCTATGCTTATAGTTGATTGTGTTTGCTGTATCATCTGCCTGAACTTGTTAAATGTAGTACTTCAAGAAGGATGCGTGTAGTAGGGATGGTTGACATAATATTCACATGCTTCAGTGCTCTTTATCCCGAGGTTGGTGGGGTTCCAGGTAGCAGACAATGATAGTTGACTCCTCCATCTAACCCTTTCAGGCCTTTGTTCCTCACCTCATCAATCGGTACAAGTTGGAGAAACTACATCCAAATGTATGTTCTTCTTGCTGATTGTTGTTGTTGTTAATTGCCTGCTGACTAGGACAAATACATTTGATATATTTCACTGAATGATGCATTGACAAAGGCCAAAGCCAAGTCTGCTTTTGCTTAAGTGAGAGAAAAGTTAAAAGGAACATGGAGCAAGAAGAGAGTAGGAATAATGGTGAGCTAAAAGAAGTACATAGTGCTGTTTGCTCAATAGTTATAAGACTTAGACAGCTAAGTTAGATCTTGGTTAGTATTAGTTTTTTTTTTTAAGTTTTTATTGTGAATTGAGTGATAGTTTACATGGGGGAACATCAGTTTTACACTCATCCTATTGTATTTGTTTCATTGCAATGATTACAATCCCCTGCATGCTTCATCATAGTTTGTTTGTTTGTTTTTTGTATGTGCACCCAAACACTCAGGCATATTCATTCAAACAGCCAAAGGGCACACCCTACAAGCCTGCCCCACAGCTGCCAGCACATATCTCCTCTTCCTCCATGCTCAGCTGCTCTGTCTCTCGATGTCATCATCTCTGCCTCCATCTCTGGCATCCCCGTTTCTCTGGGTAGGGTCCCACATTCTGCTCCCGCTCTTTTCCCTTGACGGTCCCAGGGTCCTCTGCTTTGGGACTGTAAGATTGACCACTTACCCCTTTTTGTTACAAAACTTCTACCTTTACAGTTGCAACAATTGCAATTAGTCATGATAACAATTACTCACTATTGAATCATGAGAGTCTTGTCCTCATCTCCTTCCACCAGACCTGTCTATATAGGATGAAAACCACTCAGTGGGGACTCTACCTCCCCCCCCTCCCCGCACACTCTGAATCTAAACTCCCTCTTGAAAACTTGTAAGCCAGTTACTTCGTGCCTTTACAGCTCCCCCCTCCCCCACTTTAGGTAGCCAATGTCTAAGTTGCCCATCCCTGTCAACCCTATGTACAGAAGGGATAGGAATGATCCTTGCTGTAGAGAATCTGTCCCTCTTGGTTGGTATTTTAAGCTACTACATCCATAAGTATAGGTCAAGTTCATCAGATTGTAGCGATATACACTAGTTTTCTTTAAAAAAAAAAAAAATCCCCCTCTTTTCCTTCCTCTAGTCGGGTTCTGAACATCCAGGCATTGAAGCTAGGTCCCATGGATACTGTCTGCAAGTTTGGGGGCCCTTGTGCATATCCCTTCACTTCATATCAGCAGGGCGCTTCACTCTCAGCTCTAGCCCTCCATGGCCATGTTCTTGGTTTTGGGATCAGGAATCCCCAGGTCTCACCATACCTCAGGCCAACCAGCTCTCACCATACTCCAGGTCAAAAGGGGTCTATATAACTTGGACGGACTCAGCCCACCTCTTCATTTTAACAATAGTTTTTAAGACACACAGGAACAGTTTGTGAATGGGTCAGGCAAAGGGGAAGCTGGCTTTGTTTAGAGGAACGAAGGCATCCTCTTTTAAGCCTTCTCTAATTCCTTCTCATTTCCTCATCTGGAACCTGGGACTACAGAGGGCTTGTGTGTAGGTCCTGGGAGGAATAACTCAGTACTTTACATGCTCGATTGTACCAAAGGTAAATTAATAACATACTTGAAGAGGGTGAAATGAGTTCTTTTGCAGAAGATAGGTACAGGACTCAAGAAAGATAGTGATGAGGTCTTGTGTCTATTTGAAATCAGTTTCTGCCCATGGACTGCCAAGACTATCAAAGAGCTTTCTTTGAGCTATGAGAGCTTCCTCAAATATGGTTTTGCATAAAGTTGATTCCAAGTACATTTAGCGAATAAGCTTTTAACTGGGGGTCAAAAACTACTGATCCAGGGATGGGCTTACAATGTGTAGGAGCACTACAATTACCCACTTGGAGAGAACCCTTCAGAAAGTCTTAGGACAGGAGAATATCTATTCTTCCAAGAAGCCTAAGGAAAAAGGAAGAGATGAAATAAGACAGTAGGATTAGTCTAAAATGGAAGCAGGTGGGGGGAATATAGGACATCTCTGTGGAATAGCCAGCAGGTGGGTGGGAATGTAGTCTCCATGGCAACAAGTCTCCACAGCAGCAAATCCCAGCAGGTGGGTGGGAAGGTAGTCTCCATGGTGACATGTCTCCTCAGCAGCAAATCACAGTGGGTGGGCGGGCGGGAAGACTTGTTTCTGTGGTAATACACTGCACTGACTTCCCCATTTCTCCATCAGACCAAAGAGATGCGCTAACCCAGTGGTTTTCCAACTTTAGCAAGCATCAGAATCACTTGGAGGACTTGTTACAAACAAATTGTTCCACTGCTAGAATTTTTGGTTCATTAGGTCTGGGAGAAAGGGAAGTGAGGACCTGCCCTGAGAAAGAGGGGAAGAGGTTAATCAAGGCCCTGTAAAGAAGTGGAGATGGACCAGTTTGTACAGGAAGTACAAAAGAGAGCTTTGGGCTCATTGCCTCTTGGGATCTTTACTTCCTTAAGAAGAAAGGACAAAGATAACTAGCTTGGGTGCTGCACACATTATACATATGCCCTCATGCTCATTTTATCCTTGTTACAACCCTATGAGGTGTTTTTATCCCCATTGTACAAAAGAGGAAACTAGGATCCTGAGATTTTAAATAACTTGCCCAAGCTACATTAGCTAAATGACTAATAAATAATAGAGCCAGGAGGCTTCAAACCCAGAACTTTCTGACCCCAAGGTCCCTGTTCTTTCCCTTCTCTCACCAGGTACTAGGGTGATATCTCCAGATAGTGCATCAGGATAGAGAATGCTGAGTTCTGGCCATTTGCAGTTCCTGCAGTTTAAGTCTCCTAACAAGGAGCTATCCACATTCTAAACTAGATAATGGGGTGCGGCAGGGAGCCAACCATTTCTGTATTTATGATGGTGTACCTTGCAGAGTCCTTGTGTGGTGCTGCAGGATAATGTGCCTGGACCACAAGGTCAATTTGAACTGCAAGGTCGGCTGTTCAAACCCACCAGCTGCTCCTTAGAAACCCTATACAGGGTCACTATGGGTTGGAACCGACTCAACGGCACTTAACTACAACCTTGTAGAAAGGAACAATGGTTTATGTTAGCTAGATGGAAGACCTACACTGCATGCACATCCTCTGTTATTGCCTTCCCCCAACTTCTACCTCCCATGATAACTCAAATCCTCGTTCCCTCCACCTTCACTGTTTTCATGCATTTTTTGAATCCAGGTTTCCTCAGCACTGGAGATCAGGCTGCCAAAGGCAACTATGGGCTCCTTGACCAAATCCAGGCCCTCCGCTGGGTGAGTGAGAATATTGCCTTCTTTGGTGGAGATCCCCGCCGTATTACTGTCTTCGGCTCTGGCATTGGTGCATCCTGTGTCAGCCTCCTCACACTGTCTCATCACTCTGAGGGTGAGTAGCTCGTAGAGCAAAACATGCTGGCTGCCCACTCTGAACCTCAGGTCTTCCAGGCTACAGAATGCCCAGCTCCATACCCCAGAAGTACCCAGGGGGATCAACCTGCCTCTGCTACCAGCTCAATGGCCCTATGGGGAAGTAGTGGAAGGGAAATATTTCTCTGGGGAAGGAATTCTCCTAATGTGAGAGAGGGAAGGAGAGAACCCTTTTACATCCTAAGAAAGCAAGATTCCTTTGGGGGTCTTATTTGGTAGATTAGAAGAAGAATGACCCTCTTTGAAGGAACAATAGTTCTTTTTGGGCAAGGGAAAACTTTCAGTTTGGGAAGGGCACATTACTTAAGAATATAGTCCTAGGGTGAAAATTAGTTCCTAGGTGTAAGAAACTCGTTCTTTGCCTTTCTCTCTGAAGAACAAGTCTGTACAAGAGACAAAATGTACTAGAGGAAGGAGGTGGGTCTGAAGTGAGAATCACTATAACCAGTTTCTTCTGAGGAACTGTGAGACCACCTAAGGGAGACTGTCATTTTTAGACTCTCTCCTTGTGGTGGGCCCCTCTGCCAATTAACTCTTCCAAGGGGTCATATTAAACCTTTTTTTTTTTTTTTTTTGCTTGAAAGGAAATGTTCTCTCCACCTTTGGATTATACAGAACATTCTCTCTCTGAGAAGCAAAGCTGAGCTTCTTACAAAGAAAAGATCTTCCTTAAATAGGTGCCCTTCTCCGAAGTAAAGGAATCTGTTAGTGAGGACAAGGGTTTTTTTTATTTTTGTTTTTTTCATTGAAATCAACCCCAATAGTTAGTGATATTCTTACAGGAAGACTTTCAGTCTTTCTTTGAAGAGCACCTATTCCTTTGAGAGAGAAAAATCACATTCTCTGACCAAGAAATTCTGTCTCTGTCCCTCTAGGGACTGTCTTGGTGAGAGAAGACTAAGGTGGGATCTGCATCTCTAAAAAGAGAGAATGTGTTTCTAGGTGACAGTAATTGGAGCAGGAATTCCCTTTACTTGGAAAGGAGGTTGAAATGACTGGCCAGGAGGATGCCTCTGTCTGAAAAGAGGATTGGTGCCTCTGTTGGGGACTATTTCCCTGGGAGGAGAAGTCCTTTTCTGGAATGATGCTATAATTTATCTCCAAAGGCCCCTGTGTCTCTGGAGGCCTGGCTTGTTCAAAGATCTGTTCTCTTTGCCTTTCTGTAATTGACTCATAGAGAATAATTTTTAGAAAAATGAGGCACTCTCTTTAAGTAGTAATCTATATTTCTCACCCTCTCTTTCCTCCCATGCAAATTTGGAGATATGGAATAATGTGTCCAAGGGCCAAATTCTCTCTCTTGGGCATATTAATAGCCACTGTGGAAGAGTTATATTCCTTTTTTTCCTAAGAGGGGAAGAACCATCTACTTTCTGAGTTTGGGAGACTGGCTCCCTCTCAACTACAGGAAAATTTTGATCCGAGTCATCAATAGCCTCAGTAAAAGGAATCTCTCCTTGTGGACACAACAGATTGGAAGGGCATATTCATTTCCTGAAGACTTTCAGACCCCAAGGCCTTTGCCCTGGGGATCCTTCACCAAAATCCCAGAATGCAAGGCTCTCTTCTGACTGCATTTCTCATCTCTCATGAAAAAGACTCCTTTGTGGTGTAAGCGGCAGCTCCCTGGTGGTACGCTGGCACAGAGCTGGACCCAGCTGGGCAGGAAGCAAGAGGGGAAGACAATTAGAGATAAAGAGCGGGAGCATAAGGAAGCTGATATCTAGGATCGAAAAGGTTAATTCTTCCTGAAATTTCCTTAACCCCTAAGCTACCAACCAACTAGGACAAGGAAGTAGTCAAGGAAGAACCAGGCAGGGGACCAGTCAGGGAAAGGGTGCAGCAGCCCTTCCTCTGATCCTAACCCATCATTGCCAGCCAAAAAAGTCATTCCTCCTTCCTAGCCTATTTAAACCATAGGACAGGTTCAGTATCAAAGGAATGAGATGGTGTTTTATTTGTTCCTCAGGGATAAGCAAGGGAGGCCTAGGCTGTGGGGAACACAACAGATCTGACCTGGTGCTGCCTGTCTTCTGTAGGGCTTTTCCAGAGGGCCATCATCCAAAGTGGTTCTGCTCTGTCCAGCTGGGCTGTGAACTACCAACCAGTGAAGTACACCAGCCTGCTGGCAGATAAAGTGGGCTGTAACGTGCTAGACACAGTGGATATGGTGGACTGTCTTCGGCAAAAAAGTGCCAAGGAGCTGGTAGAGCAGGACATCCAACCAGCCCGCTACCATGTGGCCTTTGGCCCTGTGATTGATGGTGATGTCATTCCTGATGACCCTGAGATCCTCATGGAACAGGGCGAGTTCCTCAACTATGACATCATGCTAGGTGTCAACCAGGGTGAGGGTCTCAAGTTTGTAGAAGGGGTGGTGGACCCTGAGGATGGTGTCTCTGGCACTGACTTTGACTATTCAGTCTCCAACTTTGTGGACAATCTGTATGGCTATCCTGAGGGTAAAGACACCCTTCGGGAGACCATCAAGTTCATGTACACAGACTGGGCAGACCGTGACAACCCTGAGACCCGCCGTAAAACACTGGTGGCACTCTTCACTGACCACCAGTGGGTGGAGCCCTCAGTGGTGACTGCTGATCTGCATGCCCGTTATGGCTCGCCTACCTACTTCTACGCCTTCTACCATCACTGCCAGAGCCTCATGAAGCCTGCTTGGTCAGATGCAGCTCATGGGGATGAAGTGCCCTATGTTTTTGGGGTCCCTATGGTAGGCCCAACTGACCTTTTCCCCTGCAACTTCTCCAAGAATGACGTTATGCTCAGTGCTGTTGTCATGACCTACTGGACCAACTTTGCCAAGACTGGGTAAGGAGATATGGGGGTTCTTCTTCTTTGAGACCCCAGCATGCCCTCTGCTCCTCTATTCAAATCTCTTGCATTGTCTCCTTTCCTAAGATCATCCCCAAAATCATGCTTGGTAACCCCTTCACCCCACTTCTTAACCTTTCCCCACTCAAGTCTTTCATGCCATTTTCCATCCTTCAGAAACTGTGTTCAGGCTCACAGCTTGGTTAGCATTAGGACTGAACAGGAGTGAGAATTATGAGAGTCAAGGTTAGATGGTCAGAGACCACCTGAAGTGGGAATAAAATATATTCAGAAAGAACCTTTAAAGGATCCTTGAGAAAACTGGGCATCAGAAAAGACTGATGGATGCTTAGTAGCATGTGAGAAAAAAAAAGGATGATCTTAGAGGATGAACACAGGGAAGGATGGGATGGTTCCCATGATGCCAAGGGGAAAAGAAGTTCAGGCTCTGGGGAAAGAGGGAGGGACCCTGGAAAAGACAAAATGGTGGAAAGTTTTGGACTGGGGAAGAGGCTTAGGGGTGGGTGTGAGAAGAAGAATGCTGGGCCCTTTTCTCATTCAGGTAGAGTGGTGACCCCAGATTTCCATGTGGTATTTCAGGGATCCCAACAAGCCGGTCCCCCAGGACACCAAGTTCATTCACACCAAGGCCAACCGCTTTGAGGAAGTGGCCTGGTCCAAATACAATCCCCGAGACCAGCTCTACCTTCACATCGGCCTGAAACCAAGGGTCCGCGACCATTACCGGGCCACTAAGGTGGCCTTTTGGAAACACCTGGTGCCCCATCTATACAACCTGCATGACATGTTCCACTATACGTCCACAACCACCAAAGTGCCGCCCCCGGATACCACCCACAGCTCCCACATTACCCGCAGGCCCAATGGCAAGACCTGGAGCACCAAGCGGCCAGCCATCTCACCTGCCTACAGCAACGAGAATGCCCAAGGGTCCTGGAATGGGGACCAGGATTCAGGGCCACTCCTGGTGGAGAACCCTCGTGACTACTCCACTGAATTAAGTGTCACCATCGCTGTGGGGGCCTCCCTTCTGTTTCTTAATGTTCTGGCCTTCGCTGCCCTCTACTATCGTAAGGACAAACGGCGTCAGGAGCCTCTTCGGCAGCCTAGCCCTCAGAGGGGTGCTGGAGTCCCTGAATTGGGAGCTGCTCCTGAGGAGGAGCTGGCAGCATTACAGCTGGGCCCCACCCACCATGAGTGTGAGGCAGGTACCCCCCATGACACACTGCGCCTCACAGCACTGCCTGACTACACCCTGACCCTGCGGCGCTCCCCTGATGACATCCCACTCATGACCCCCAACACCATCACTATGATTCCCAACTCCCTAGTAGGGCTACAGACATTGCACCCCTACAACACCTTTGCCGCAGGGTTCAACAGTACTGGGCTGCCCCACTCACACTCCACTACCCGGGTATAGCTCTATCCCAGAGCACAGCCTGTCTCGGCTCACTCCCTCCCAGATCCACAAACAGACACACACACACACAGAGAAACATACAGACATATAAGCACGCACTCACACCCTACAGCAGACCCACCTGCACAGACAGACAGATGTGGACATGCACTTGCATGTACAGAAACACAAATACTGAAATAAACATGAGCAAACCCTTCAAATGGGGATGCAAGAGTCCTTGGTAAACAGAGGACTCACAGAACAACAACTGAGCCTGACAACAGACACCCCTGGGGGGCCTGAAAGCAACAGCTGGACACCCCTTGGTGCTCGCCTTCAGCATCTCTTGGAACTGCACCACCAACCCACTTCAGACTTGGGAGCTTTAAGGAGCAGAATAGCTCTTCCTCTCCCCAGACGTGGTCTTTATCTGGGTCTTTTTTTGTTGTTGTTGTTGATTTAAAAAACAAAACAAAACAAAACAAAAAAAAAACATATTGGAGCAAATACTTTCCAGCCCATGAGTGCAAAGAGGCTCTGGAAGGGAGAGTTCCAGACCTAGGTTTCTCTGAATCTGTAATACCCAGTGTTCACACAATCACACCAAGGAACAGGAACCCCAAGAAAGAAATAGATTTGAGCAAGACTGTGGGTTGGAAAGAGGAAGGGGCTAACAATGGATGAGTTGAAGGGCCATAGGAAAGAGCTCTCCAACCATCTCTGTGTCCCTTTGAAGGGCTGTGGAGACTGCAAGGTGACCTGCCTCCCCCAAAGGCCATTGGCCTGGGGACTAAATTTGGTGAATGTGGTTCTGTGGAAGTCATGTTATTAGGCCACTGGGCTCTGCCTCTGCCCTTGGGGTAATGCTATCAGAAATTTGCCCCATTTTCTTTAGAGTCTCTTTTGTGTCTGTCATTTCTCTTTCAAAAAGGCGGTATTTTTTGTTGTTGTTGGCTTTTTTTAAAAAAAGAAAAGTTCTTAAAACACTAACGGAAACCCATGGAGTTTGTCCTTTGTAAAAATTTTAAACACAGTGTCTTGATATAAAAATAAAAAATCCAGTTAGCACTCCCAACCTGCCTCCCTTACACAGGTCTTACCCTAACAGACCTCCAAGCAGGGTGCCTCTGTGGACTAGAAATTAGAAACTCTCCCTCTGTCTCTCTAAAGCTGATACAAGTCCTGGCTTCACTCTGCTAGGCCTCTGAACAAAGGCCTCACCAATCTTAACCAAGTTGCCATCCCTGCTCCTCCAGCCCCCCTTTGTACCCACGTGCTCCAGGTTCCTGCAGCTGAAACCTTTCCTCAGCACCTCGGGCCTCTTTATGAAACAACAAACATACTTCCTCCTCTGCTGCCATTACTGCTGTCTCCTCTGCCAGTACCACCATTGCTGCCATCCTGCCCCCATTCCAGAGGAGATTTGACCTCTAATATGCTGAAATTCTTTATTGTTTCTGAATCAAGTGCAGCATCAGACACGTGGATTCCCTGTCCTTGGATGACTGACAGAGCAGGGGCACTCTCCTTCCCCAGGAATACTTGTTTCCTGTTTTGTCAATTTTAATTGGAAAAGTTGTTGGGGCCTTGGGAGCAATTTCTTTCTAGAATAGTTACCAGTGGCTCCCTGTCATCTTTGGGAATAGATTCACTGGGGTCCCACAAGGTTAGCATTTTGGTATTTCATGTTATTCTCAATGAACCAGGAGTTCACTCATCAAGCATGACATTTAGGCTGGGCTGCTAAGCCCCAGAAACTAGGAATAGAATTATTTAAAGTGACCCTGACAAAATGAGGGAGATGAACCATCACAACCAGGATGATGTTCAGAACACAAGTTATTATGTACAAAGACCAAAATCCAGAACTAATGTACTAATATTGTATATGGGTATAAGAGAGATGAGCAATGATTGCTTGACTTGACACAAATACAGCTACAAATTTTTAAAAGGACTATGGAGAGGGTGTCAGGGTAGGCCACAAGTTAAATGAATCCATAGGATAGAACTGGTTTTCTTCTTCCTCCCTTCTTTCCTTCCTTCCTCCCTTTCTCACCTCTCTTCCTTCTCTCTCTCTCTCTTTTTTCCTTTCCAAAATGAACAGGAATACTGATATATAGTAACAAAAATATGGCATGGAGTAGCTGGAAAATAATCAGAATCTGAATTTTATAACTAATCTCAGAGTCATCTAGTCCAACTCCTCATTTTACAGTTTGGGAAATGGGCCCAGAAATAGTGTTAGAAACAGACCTACAATGGAATCCAGTTAACATACAACCCTCCCAGTCCTCAACTTTCCCCACTTTGTGGTAGCGTAGTGGTTATGAGTTGAGTTGCTAATCTCATGGTCAGCAGTTTGAAACTACCAGCTGTTCTGCAGGAGACAGATGAGGCATTCTGCTCCCATAAAGATTTATTATGAGTCGGAGTTGACTCCATGGCACATAACCACCACCACCAACCACCTAGCATTGATTAAGTCCTTTAAAGTGTTAATGAGTTTACCTTTGCCCTTGGTATGTGAAACAACTGTGAAGGGTCTGGAGAAGAGCAAAAGCAGTGTGCCAAAGGACTGGGTCGTTGTTTTTTAGTTTAGAAAGCCAATGAGGTAACATTCAATAATTGTGCTGCAGCTAGGGTGACAAGTGTGCTAGAACCATCTTCAAAAATTTAACTACTAAGGACAGAGCTGATGACTTACTCTCTATTTCTTCTGACAACGGTAGAGGGAAAAATAAGATTATTAGACACAAGCAAAACAGCTATGGATAAGAGATGATCACGGGCGCCTAGTAAGTCCTCAATAGTTGCCAAATTGAATGAATGACTACTAAGGAAAGCACTGGTGTTCTTCGTTTTTCTGAAAACAGGGCCTTTTGATGTCTGCTCAGTTTTGTTTTTTATGATCTTTTGATTGCTCCATATCAGATATTTCCAAACTTGGCCTCCTAGTCTGTGTGTGTGTGTGTACTGCCAAATATAAGGCTTTCTATTTTTGGGAGAGTCCTGGTGTGGCGCTGTAGGAAGCACTGGACTACTAACCAAAAGACTGGCAATTCAAACCCACCAGCCACTCCTCCGGGTTGCTATGAGTCAAAACCCACTCAACGACACTCCAACAACTATTTTGGGAGTTTTAGAAACTGCCTGTCCTCTAAGAACTCAAGGTGCTATAGCAAAACCAGCTCCAATCCTATTTGGAACCTGTTAGTAAGAGGTTACATCTGATCTTCACACCTTTGTAACTTCTGTGTGGAAGAGGTAGCCTCCAACAAAGCAGAATTTCAATCTAATTGAGTCATTGCTGTTCCCAGGTAGTTAGAGTGTTCTCAACCCTATTGCTGTCTGCCCTGAACCCAGCTAAAAAGCTCAGGTCCTTGCTTGAAGAGAGGTTGATACACTTGGACTTTATTTTACACTAGAGAAATCATTAGTGCCTAGACTTGGTTCAGTATGTATCCCTAGATTTATCTGGTTTCTATTTTAGTCCTTTGAGGAGCTGGACACAGCCACTTTGGCATCTAAACTTGTGGTTTGTGCATGAAGAGCCAGAGGTTGGTCACTGTGGCGATCTCCATAGGAAGTAAGAATGGTTACCAGGACTATAAAGCCTGACCCTGTGCTAGTTTATAGGCTGTGAGGGATAGAAGACACCCCCTCTGGGGAGCATACAGTCAGGAAGACAAAATTGAACCATGATAAAATTAAATGTACAATCTGGTATGTGACTTCAATTGTATGGTACAAGTTAAAAGGGCTGGAGAAATTATAAGAAAGGTTATGGTGAGATTTGGGTGGGTGGGTAGAGTAATGGGCATTCCAGGTTGGGAGAAAAGCCTCAGCCAGAGCAGAGATGAGAAGACCTAAGGCACTTTTGAGGAGTAGTGAGGGAACTGACCTGACCCAAGTAGAGGGTTCAGGTTAAATGGTGGGATAAGCAGGAAAGGCAGACTGGAAAGGCAGGTTGTGGTCTTTATAACAGAAAAGTTTGAGTGTTATTGGATGAGTGATGGGGACACACTGACAGAACTTGTTTGCCACTAATGGCTTTAGAGAGGAAACAAAACCGCCTCAGTTTCTAGTTGCTCCTTCTCTTTTGAAAGGAGAAGGATTGTTAGAGTAGAAAGGACAGAGTTAACACCAGAGAGAGGCTCCTAAAGGCAGTCTAGTAGAAGAGAGCCCTTAGCTGTTTTGAGTACTCCCTCTCATGATCTGGGTCAATATAGCCCAGGGCACTGAGAGGACTTGCAGCTCAAATTGCAGGACAACTGGTGGTGGTTTTGAAAATCCCCATGGAGACTGATGAAGATACACGTTGGCAGCCTATTCTTGTTAAGTGTCGTAGAGTTGATTCCGACTCATAGCTACCCTGTACTGGCTTTCCAAGGAGCAGCTGGTGGGCTTGAACTGCCTACCTTGTAGTTTGCAGTCCAGTACTTATCTTACAACGCCACACTAGGAGTTCTCTGGCAGCCCAGAGATGGGCACATGTGGCCCCACATTTTTACAAATGGGAAAAGATGAGTCCCACAAATTATAGATCAATACATTTAATACTGATTCAGGGCAAGATTCTAATGGTTTAAAGGAAGGTTGGTAAACAGTTGCAAAAGAGAGCAAAGATCACTCAGCCTCTGTATGGATTTAGGAAAAACAATTTATGCTCTACTCAGCTCACTTCCTTTGATAGGGTGATTAGATGGATAGATAAGTGGAATACTTTTAAATAGATACCTACAGTGTATCTGAGTGCAACAAAACATCCTCTCATGGTACTCATGGAACAATATAGAAAACTGCAGGGTGGATTCTTAAGTGGTTGAATGACTACACACAAAGTGTTCTGTTTTAATGTCACTAGATCAAATTTGCAAATTACATGAAGCTGGTAGACACAGCTAAAAGGTGAAATGACAGAATCAGAATTCATAGAGATGTCAAGAGGCTGGTATGATGCATACACTGTAGCAAAATGGAAATTAACAGAGACAAATAGAAAACCTTGTTTCAAT